GGTACGAATAAGGGTATGAGATATACGATTTTTCAAAAATTCTAAAGTATAGGTACGTTAATGTAATTTAAAAAATTATATTTTTAATTATATAAATCTAAGTTAATTGTATAAATGATAAAAAAAATCAAAAATAAATAAAGGATTTACCATTGCTTGAACTATAATATTAACAATAAAAATCTTAACACTTAAAACATGATTATAATATCACTCTTAAAATATGATATCACACTTTAATTGTGATATATCAAACTTTAATAATTTTAATCTCTTCATTTCTCTATCTATCATATGTGAAAAAACTGTTTCTAATAATGAAGGAGTTATATGTAAGGATAAATAAGCATTCTCTCTACCTATATTCTTGCATAGTTAGATGAACATTTTCTTTGCAACAATGTAGTTTTTATAGCATTGTAACTAGGTAGAAGAAAACCTAAGATAGAAGTGTTAGTAGCTACTAACATAATAAGATTCCTAGCAATATTAAATGACACATCAGCAGAATAAAATAGTACTCTAGCTATATAACAAGATAAATGGTCCCTAACCTCATTATTAAAAGCCTTGTTTAATGGTCCTTCTATGCCTTTTCTTCTCTAGCTTTCATTTATAGGTGAATTTAAACATGTAGTTTTGGTGGGTAAAGGTACTTGCACAAATTTTTACTTTTTCAATGGCCTCTAATTCAATTTGTGTCATCTCAACAACACTTCCACAGTTCCACGTGATACTTTAGAACAAATAATAATTCTCTTGTCTTTTGAGAAATTGAGTCGTTAATGAGTTGTCTAATGTTATTGTGGATGAGAATTGAGATTTAAGAAGAAGAAAAAATAGAAAATATAATTTTTTTATTCACGTATATAAGTACTCATGTGTACCCAAATTAAGTAATCTACTTTTAAAAAAATAATAATTTGGTGCATATGTTCACAAGTACCAAGTATGGATAAGTACCTAACATGAATTTTGGAGTACTTATGATCGAAAATTGTTCAAATACTAACGATTAGTTGAACACTTTTTTTTTTCTTACTCAACTAATGAGATTCGATCCCTACCAAAATCATAATTGAATCATAATTGAGAATCATAATTGAGAATCATAATTTTTATGGGTGATTAAAAATAAGTAAATAAAGATAACATGATAATTTAATCATTATAAATTTTTTTAGGCTCTCACAGAACATTCTTGTCAGATCTATTTTTAAAAATATTTTTTAAAATGTTGTTTCTAAATAATAAATTAAACATGAAAAAATAATATTTTTAAATTTAAATTTATAAAAAAAGTAAAAAATGTATATCAAACATCCTAATCGACTATTGTATTCATATCATAGTACCCCTTTATTACGTTGCTAAATAAAAATTTGCTTGTGGAAAAAATACACCTATGCTAAATTGATCCAAAAGTGTTTTAAACTAAAAGAGTCTCTATCTAGATGTTTTGACTAAATAGTGATGCATAAATTACAGCGAGAGGCGAAGCCCAACCCAATTAAGTTGTAGAAATAGACCTTTCTATCGGATTTAGTATGTTTATTTTGAATTATTATAAAATGAAATATATGATATAAACAAATTTTTAAAAGTAGTACTTATTGATAAGAAAAAAGAAGTGTAAAAGATTTTACACGATCAATCAATTAAAAATTAATTATAAATAATAATATATAATTAATTGTATATAATGAATATATGTGTGTTTTTTCTTATCCTTATACAGAATTAATTATATACGGAGCATATATTGTATTATCTAGCACAAAACAATATGTAACATTAGCAAAAGAGTTGAACATTAACAAATCAATTGCCAAAATGGGAGGACTTTGGTGGCTTGGAGTTTTGGAAAAGAAAAATGAGGGCCTATGAGCATATCACTTACAAGTTACACCTTCTGTAACAGGCATGGCAACGGGGCAGGGCGAGGGCGGGTTTTACGTTCCCCGCCCCCGCTCCTGATACCTGCCGAGGATAAAATCTAGGTCTCCATCCCCGCTCCTAGCGGGATTCGGGTTTCCCCG